TGAAGATGAATTTATAGATTGGTATCAGACATATGGGCTAATATCAGACTTATGGACTTAATCTGGACTGGGCTGGGATACTTTCTCAGTATTCAATTGTTCTTAAAGATAAAGCTCTTTCTTATACACATATGTGTGTCTATGAATTTGTTTCTCTGGTCTACCTGGACTCACACAGTCGCCAGGGCGAGTCTGACTCTGAGCGACCCTGTAGACACAGTAAAGCTGCCCCTGGGGTGTCTGAGGCTGTACATCCTTCAGGAAGCTGACCGATCCCAGGAGAGGATGGTGGGTACAAATTGTTCATCTTTCGGGGAGCAGCCCAAAGCAGGGGCCACTGTGCCACCAGGACGCATTTGGGGTTGGATGAGCAGGCACCCACTTTGGCTATACAACCTAGTCATTTCCCATTTGGGGGTTTGTGCTCTGCTGGGAGGCTGCACAGGCTTCCGCGAAGCTTCCAGACTAACACAGCCTCAAAAGACACCTTGCTGAGGTATTTCTGAAATTCAGCCAATGGAAACTCTCTAGATCCCTGCAGTGCCGCCCTGGTATGCACGAGTCGGGGTCAATGGGTGGTGGCTAGCAACACGTTGTATCACAAATCTACTGCTGGGGAGCCAATTCCAACTCAGAACGACCCTGTAGGGCAGAGTAGAACTGCCTCCATGGGTTTCCCAAGCTGCCACATCTTTCCCCTGAATTTCCAACCATCAGCCCTTCAGTTAGCAACTCAATACTTAATCCATTGAGACACCGTGATTGTTATTGTTGTGTCAGAGCCATCGAGTCAGGCTGACCTACACTGGCTTTACCCACAACAGAAGGAAACACTGCCCCGTCCTGTGCCATCGCACAGTGGTTTCTGTGCCTGAGCCCGTTGCTGCAGCCACTGTGTCCTCCATCTAGCAGAGGACCTTCCTCTTTTTAGCCACGCCTCCACTTTAGAAACCATAACGTCCTTCTCTAGAGATCGGTCTCTCCTGACAACATGTCCAAACTATGTAGCACAAAGTCTCGGCATCCTTGCCTCTAAGGAGCACTCTGGCCGTACTTCTTCCAAGACAGATCGTTTTGTCCCGGAATTAGTTTGGGGCTAGTTCTTTCCATGCAGCTTGAACTTCTTCCTTCAATGATTCCTGTTCGTATGCTACGTCCTGAAATGGTGGCAGGTCAGCTGGTTCTTCTCAGTACAGGGACTCAGTGTGCTCTTTCCATCTTTTGATTGCTTTCTGCATCATTCAATATTTTGTCCATAGAATCTTTCAACATTGCAACTCCAGGTTTGATTTTTTTTCTTGGGGGGGTTCTTCAGTTTAAGATATGTTGAGTATATTTTTCCTGTTTGGTTTTCTAACTCTAGGTCTTTGTCGTTATATTATTTCACTGGAGCTGCCCTTTGAAATGTTCTATTCGGCACTTTGACTACATCATTGCTTCTTGCATTTGGGTTAGCTAATCCACGATTAAGAGCAAGTGTCAGGGTCTCTTCTGACAACCACTTTGACCTTTTCTTTCTTTCCTGTCTTTGTAATGACCTTTCTCTTTCATGAAGAAAGATGGTCTTTGTGCTAGTGCATCATTTCATGTCAACTTGGTAAATAAGTATAGGGGTGGAGTCTAGCCTGTCAATCAGGTCACAGCTGGAGGATGACTCCTGTGGGCGTGGCCTTCGCATGAGGATTCTGGGAGCTTCCTCTCTTTCTCCCTGGAGGTGGATCACACACTCTCTCTGCTTCACCTTCCTGCTGACAAGCCACGTGGAGGCACGCTGAGACACCTGCGAGCACCCTGGAGATGCTACTGTCACCACTGGATCCACAAGACTTCTCACTCACTGGCCTATGATCTTCCTGAATTGTACATCATTGCATGTGTGATGTGAGTCTGAAGAGGAGTTGATGGACTAGTATCAGACATATGGGAAAATATTGGACTTATGGATTTGACTGGAACTGGACTGGGATGTTTTCTCAATATACAATTGATCTTTGATATAAAGCTCTCTCTTACCCACAGATGAGTGCCTCTGGATTTGTTTCTCTAGTCCACCCAGACTAACACCATCTCGGTGTCCTCTCACCGCTCAGTAGGTCTTCTGCTATCCATGTTTAGCAAATCTGCTCTTGAGATGGTCTCCAAATTCAGGTGGGATAGACTTAGGGTCATATTTTGGCTCTCATAGACTGTTTTAATTTTCTTCAGCTTTACCCTGAACTTAGATATTAGCAATTGAAGCTCTGCACTATAGTCAGCCCCTGCCCTGGTTTTAGCTGCTGATATTGAGCTTCTCCATTTTCTCTTCCCACCAATGTAGTCCATATGGTTTCTGAGTATCCCATCTGGAGAAGTTCATGTGTACAGTGTCTTTGGTGTTGATGAAAAGAGCATTTGCTATGAACAAGCCATTGGTCTGGCCAACTTCTATCATGCGATCTTCAGCTTTGTTTCTATCATTAAGACCCTATTTTCCAAGCACTGTAGCTGTGCTTCCTTAGAGTTTTTAAAACTGACATTTCTCACCCCCTGCCATCTCCATCTAGTAGGTCCTGACTCATAATGACCCTGTAGGACAGAGTAGAACTGCTCCTGTGGCTTTCTGAAGCTGTAAATCTTTACAGGAGTAGAAATTCACATCCTCCTGTGGAGCAGCTGCTAGATTAGAACTGCTACACCTTAGTTCCATCATTTTAAAACAGCTCTGCCTCCCAAGAGTATCCTGAGTGCTGCAGGAGATAAGATTGCAGAGCAATTTACCCGGCCTGACCATCCCAAACCAAACCCACTGTCATCAAGCCGATGCCGACTCTTAGCGACACTATAGGGCAGGTTTCTGAGACTGTAACTCTTTATGAGAGTAGAAACTCTCATCTTTCTCCCATGGAGCAGCGGGTGGTTTCGAACTGCTGCACTTGCAATTAACAGTGCAGTGCTTAACCACTACCCCACCAAGGCTCCTCGACTTGGCCTTTGGTATTAGAATGTTCACTATGTGGGCCTGTGGGGTGGGGGTGGGGGGTTGAGAGCCCTGAGATTCATCAAGGTCACCCCTGGGAAGACTCTGGTGCCACATTTCTGCTGGTCCTTTTCCTGATGGCTGCAGTCTTTGCCTTGCTCAGCATGTGTTCAGGAGAAGGCCTCCCTGGGAGGGATATATAAAGAGGCTGAAGCAGAGCCATTGTCCCAAGACAGTAACTCTTGGGGCACAGGGGGCGGGGGGAGCGGTGTATAGGGTGGAAAGAGAAAACGGTCCCGGAGGAGGTGTGGGAAGGCCTCATCTGTGTAATTGATTTGCTTTGTTTCTCTGGATATAGACCATTTCTCCCAAGGGCTGACCCAGGATAGCCAGCAGACTGACAGCCAAGGCAACTTAAGAATCTGCTGAAATTACAGGCCCAGGAGCAGATGCTGCTGATGGAGAGAAGGTTAATATGCAGTAAATAGCCCAGACCTGCCCCTGAGAAATCTCACTCTTTCCCTCTCCTCCAGGGCCACAGACATGTGGGTCCTAATGCCCCCAGTCTTGGCCAGGGCAAAACTCTATGTGCCAGTTGCCCAACCCTCCACCCTGTGTGGCTCAGAGAACTGAGGGACCTGGGGCCCCTTCTCAGTCAGTCACCAGCAGGTATAAATGTCTTAACCTGCACACCGCATGTTTTCCATCCGGATACACTGTGGGCAGGGAGCCCTGGTGGCACAGAGGTTAAGCACTCGACAGCTAACAGAAAGGTAGGCATTTGGAACCCACTCACTACACTGAGGGAGAGGGATGAGGCTGTCTGCTCCCATAAAAATACAGGCTCTGAGGCTCTGAGACCCGATGGGGCCCTCCTTGGTCCTGTAGGATGGTCCTGAGTCAGATCCACCTCGTGGTACACTATATCGTAGCAGCAGTTCCCCTAAAAGTCTGCTTCTGGATCAGGGAGGATGCACACACCTCTGTCCCCAGAGGAAAACAGGAAGATTGGTCCTGACCATGAGAGGGGGAGGCATGATGCATAGCTTACAGTCCTTCCTGACACCCTTGGGGAACTTCAGGGACAGGGAAAGGATGAAAAAGGAGTGAGGGCCAGCCCTCATGCTCTCCCTGTCCCCCCCCCCCACACACACACACACACTATCTTCTTAGAGCTAAACAACACCACCATGACCACCGACCCAAATTGCCAAAGCCCAGGGCACATAGCCTGTCCCCATGCCCATGTCCCTGCTCCCATGCCCATGTCCCTGCTCTTGTGCCTATGTCCCTGCTCTTGTGCCTATGCCCCCACTCCGGTGCCTATGCTCCTACTTTGTGACACTAGTGCCTCAGCAGGACCCTGAGACCAGGCCACATCTGTTCACCATGTGGCTCCCTAGTCATGTGTTTAAGGAGGAGCCAAGCTCTCTCTGGGCAGCGTGTCACTCAAGTCTAGGACATCTCTTCAGAACATGTACTTTGTATTAGTGGGTAACTTTTTAGCTAAGAGCCCTGGTGGCACTGTTGGTAAGTGCTTGGTTGCTAACCAAAAGGTCAGTAGTTCGAACCCATCAGCCGCTCCAGAGGAGACAGAAGTGATCGTCTGCGTCCATAAAGACTTACAGCCTTGAAAAGCCCATGTGGTGGTTCTATTCTGTCCTATAAGGTTGCTGTTAGTCAAGGTCAACTTGATGGCAATGCAAACACTGAGGCCCAGAGAGGTCAAGGATTCTACCCCAGGCCACATGGCTCTGAAGACTAAACTCAATGTTGGGACTCAGAGTCAAAGCTGCCAGACTCTGCCATTCATGTCTAACCCCATCTCTTACATCATATGTCCACCACTCAGGTATCTGCAGATGAGAAGCCCAAAACTCAGAGGTTGTAGTGACTTTCCCAAGGTCATAATTAGGTCAAACAGGAATTTTCTGGCTTTGAAACTACTGTTCTTTTACACTGGATAACTCACTCTCACTCAAACTACATGAAGCAAAGAGATGTGCTGAGAGGATGCAGACAGATGTTAGGAAGTCTCACCTACCTGTGGTCCAGCTATTCCTGGGGGCCCTGGGAGGCCTCTGGGTCCAGCATCCCCCTGGAGCAAGGACAAAATAGAAAACCAAGAATGAGTGGCCGTGCCTGTGGCCAGAGTCATCACCACGATGTCCATCTTGGCTTCTAGTCATTGAGTCCCCAGTGAGGTTTTCTTTGGGCTGCCAAAGTGTTGAACCAAGGATGTAGGCAAGTGGTCATGCCCAGTGCGGCAGGTTGGCATGATATCCATTCTTCAAGATGCCCCCCGATGCCCCTACCTGGCAGCAGTCACACCCCACTGAAGCATTTGTACCAGGGTTGATTGATGTGACAAATATAACATGGCAGGTGTGATAGTATGTCTGGGTATAAAAACCTTCCATCTTGCTCTCCTCTCTCTTTCTCTCTCTAGCTACCAAGTCTTGAGTTAATTTGAGAAACCCTTGTGGAGAGTACCACATGGTTAAGAACTTGAGCCTCCAGCCAACAACCACATGAGTCAGCTTGGAAGGAATCTGCACCAGTCAAACTCTGAGATGGCTGCAGGTCTGGCCAACATTGTGAGCAACCTCATGAGAGAGCCTGAACCAGGGCCACCCAGGTGCA